ACAATCTTCTTAGTAGAACATAAATTTTATTTCTAGTTCACGGTGATAGACAAATTTTATACAATTATTAAAGTGGCAAAATTTTCATACTACTCCTAGCTGGTAAAATCTTCAGAATTCTCATCTTTTTAAAACAATATCTCACGTTGCTAAGCAACGGTTTAATACAAATATGGCGTTGCCACTTCAACAATAATTATATTTATTTATTAAATAACAAGATATTACAACCTCTCCCCCCCTCCAGATAAACTTTAATATTTTTATAAGTTTAGTTTTTTTTTTTTTTTTAAATTTTTTTATATAAACAACAATTCAGCACAATACAGAATTGAAATAAAGATATAACCCATACACTGGAAGAGGAAGAAGTTTTTTTATCTAATGGGGCGAATTCAAGTGCAACGCTTGTCATGGTAATCGCACTTGCATTGCAAAACCGAATTCAAGTGCAACGCTTTTCGGACACGCCTACTGAAAATACGTCACTACCATAGAGGAATTTTGCGGCTACTCCTGACCTGCCGCAAACTCTTAACAGCGACTGTAAACAAGATGGCTGAAGTGATTTTGCTCAGACGTTTAAGAAATCGGAGAAATGCTGATCGAATTCCTTGGCATTTAAGAGACAGTCGTAATGCTTTTGAAATGTCGGAGCGTGAATTCATCAGTTGATTCAGATTAAATCGGTTTGCTTCAATGAATTGAAACCTTTTCTGAAGGCAACTGCCAATGGATATTCTCTGCAAAAGCAGGTTTGTTTTTACTTCAGATTATGAAAACTGAAATACTTCTGGAAATGTTTCCGAATCAAAGACTATGCTTAAATGACCTATTTGAGAATATTATATATTTTTATACGTAAACACACAAATTTTTAATGTTATTGTATCAGGATTCTTTCTTTTTCATCCCGTTTTTTTTTTTTTCGTAGTAATGATCGAAATCGTTAATTACTGCGAATTTTGGAATGCAGTAATAATATCACCATTAATTTATTGTTTTAATTACTCTAAAACGTAATCTCGGAGAAATTGTTTTCTCTAACAGAAATTATGCATATGCCTGTCTTTGAGATATATATATATGTATATTTAGGGATTAGTTTTTTGGAATATTATATTTTTTCATGGTTTTAGATACGTGCATTTAATTTACATATGCTCTCAGAATTTCAGTGATATAGTAAATTAGTTTCGCAGCAATAATTAATCTTTGATATGTATGCAATTAAAATTTCATAATTTAAATTAACTTTATATGAAGAGAGAATATTTGTTAAATTCAAATTTAATTCTTTGCAGCAATGGCACATGAGAATTATTTAAATTTAACTTTACTTTTTATTCTTATGAAACAAATATATATATATATATTCTGTAACTGTAGGGGAAAAAGCATGAATTTTTCTCAGCTGTTTAAACAGTTCCCATGTGTAAAATAGTATTTCATCCCCCAAAATATTAGTTAATTTTCTCCTAATGTATAATGTCTTGCCTGTTCGTACAGTGTGATTAATGTCATGGTAATTTTGGATACTTTCTATAGATCTTGCATAATAACTACACATGTAAGTTATATACACATTCGTAAATCTCTTATGATATGAAAAGTTATTGCAGACTTTCACATAAATATTAATACTTGATATTCTCGATAACAGGTGACTTACCTTACTTCCGTAGACCATGATCAGAATTAAATAAACTTATAAGGTTATCATACTAAATTACACGAAAAGCAGCATGACATAAATAAATGCAAAGAAATTAAATGTATTTACTGTACTAATAGATTATTATATTACACGACATTGGTTTTGCCCATGTATAATGGGAATGAAAGCCAGTTTTCCATAGAAAGTCCTCTACAGAGGCATCTGTTTTCTTAAGCAGATTGCTTTTTCACATTTCAGTGACCTTGATTTAAGTATGAAACTGGATAATATTTTCTTTCTGCATGAAATGTGTTAACTGAGTTTTAGAAATATAAGCCATCTTGCAGTTACTGTGATAATACTAATTTTTGGTACCTCCATATTATACCATCAACCATGAAAGTTGTGCCAATTGCTGCTGTGGAATTCTGAGCCAGACATTTGTATACAGCAGTTACAACAAACCATACATCAGTCTCTCTGCAGAATACATGAAATAACCCTGCTGTGAAAGTATTGGACCCACTTCGTGAAAAAACATTCGTTCATTACTACTGTTTTATTTGCGGTCAAATTTTACCAAAAGCTCATTTTAGAATGCTATGAATACAAGTTGTCCACAGGTAATTGTTCCAATTTCTTACTGTTTTGTTCGCTATTTCCACATACAGTAGATGTTAATTCTCTCGACCAGCTGTAAAAGAACTGGAGTGCAATCACAAATGTGATTCTACCTAGCTTACCAAGAATTATTTTGGGTTACATTCAAATGAAACCGCAGATGTTGCGAGTGTGGTGTGATATTAATTTTTGTTTTGTCTTCATTAACCGGAAAAAAAAAATTTTCCATTAATGGTGAAAAGGTAAGAAATATATGATAATAAGTATAATATTATAGTCATTTCAAATTGCTGCAAGAATGTTTTATTATTATTATTATTCAAATAATAATAACAAAAAGCTATCTATACTATAATTATAGTGAAGTATTGATATTAAATAATACAAAAGCTTTTAGAATCACCTATTTACTACAATTTAATAAAAAAAGGGTAGCTATAATTTTTTTTTTTTTGTTTTGTGTTTGTTTGTTTTAACGTTTTATTGCATATTTTTAATAATGAAAAAACAGTGACATATTTTTGTTAAAAATGGAAAGTAAACTCCTTAAAAAGACTGATTTATTAATATATCAACTATATTCAATGTTAAAAATCTGTGTATTAAAATTTCAGATGAAACTTTCTTTTGACTTAGGATTTATGTTTTTCTAGGTATGGGATGCTGGTCTGAGGGTTCTCTATGCTGTAGGACAATGGCCAGGCAATACTCATGATGCATTTATTTGGAGTTTGAGTGGACTCGAACACAAATCTAGATAGTATTTTGTCGCATCGTGCATATCTTTGGGAGATAGTGGATTATATTCCCATTTTATCACGGGAATATCTCTATAATGAGAAGCACAGAAAAGTTCGTGCAGCTATAGAGATCAAATCAAGATTTAGGGTACTGCACGATACTGGTGGAACACTATTGTATTCACAAAGCAAAATATGTAAAATGGTCATATCTGGTGGCCATTTTACATAATATATGCTTAAGGTATTGTGTTGAAAATCCTGAGATTGATGTGTTTGAAGATGATGAGTTGGTACCTTCAGAAAGTTTTCAGTCAGTGCATGTTGAAATTGCATTGCACAATGAATTATCTTTAAATTTTGAAACTCGATAATAAAAACCCAAAGTGGGCAACAATGAACCTCTGGCAAAGGTGGCAAAGGTGAAACCCCCTTCATGGATAATAAAGAATATATTGAAAAAAATTACTTTCATAATATATTCTTGGGGACCCACAAGCCATGGTTTATATTTATTTGAACCTGTAACTAAATTCACAACCCTAAATGATGATTTTAATTGATAATAATAATCCTAAATAATTTTTTTTTATTGTCCTGGTTTCAAATGCATACTGACAACTTTTATCATTATTGTTCTTCCCTCTGAATTTCTTGTTTCCATCATTTATGTTTAAAAACTCTTGACTACCAGAAATAACTTAATAGGCTCGATATATATATATTTTAGTGTTGGTATGCCAGTCATGATTTACAATAGTAAGTCACTATAAATTAGCATTGCACTTAATTTATCTTCAAACTTAGCAATAAGATTTACTGCACCGAAATTCAGTTTCTTCCAAAAAGTCAAATGTTTTTCGTCCCCTTCCGTGGGACAAGATAGAAAATTTCCATGTGACAATACACATTTAATAGCATAAGAACTTCATGCTTATTTATTATAGTACAAATTAAAACTGACATATTCTGTCAAAGATATTTAAATGTATTTCCTAAAAACAATTATTTCACTCTATACTGTTTATGTATACCCAGGCTTCTTGGGGTGGGCAAAACAAATATTGGACAGTTCAATTTTCCTCCACCATTCCTGTGAGCGTATTCTTCGATTAAGCAGGGTTTTTGCTCCAATTCCTGATTAGCATAATATGTAAAGAATAAACAGCCTATGATTTATGCCTCCATATCCTCTTGTATTATTTAAAGAACATACATTTTTCCTTTAATTCTAGATTTTAAAACATTAAAGTAAGGGAAAGATTGTTTGCTCAATTTAGATTTATATCATAATTACGCATTCACTATAATAACTTACTGCATACTTACCTCAGTGGGTTTGCCATTAAAAGAAATACATTTAAGTAAAATCATGAGTGTATAATAAATTGTTTTTCAGCCAAAAAAAGAGAAGGGGAAAATAAATACAGTTTGATTCAATTTTTAGTACGCGACTCAACATTGTTATTGTAAACTAGACATTAGCCATACTTTAATAGTTGTCATCTTTAAGTTACTCTGTATTTTTAGAACTTCGAAATTAGAATGTCAATTTTATCTGCCATTGTTATGGAGCTGTAGGATATCGAATGTTATTTCTTCAATGATAAAAAGAAATGAAATTTTTAATACCACATCTCATTCATATAACTTATTAACATAATTGAAAAACAATTTAATTCATTTCGTGTTATATCTGAAAATTAAAATTTGTAATACATTGACTAAAGATTCTTACAGGTCTTATTCCCATTTTCCTCCAGGAAAAAGATAATTGCTGTGTAAAATGCATAAATATTTTCACGAGACTTATAATAGTGGTATTAGAATTATTATAATGTTTATGTCATATAATGGATCTGTGAATTTCTTTTAAATAATTTTTATAATCACAAAATTTTATAAAATTAAGAAAGTAGTAAATTTTACAATTAAAATATGAATCCCACACTGCAGAAATATATACAAGAATGAAAACACTGTAATATTTGAAATGCATGATTTATTTTTTTAATAAATTAATAATTATATTTTGATTTTCTATGACAGCAGTCTGATTTGCAACTGATTGCTTATACAAGTCACATATTTCACACAGTACATTAATATATTCTTCTGCGTTTCAATTATTTCCTTTTCTGCAGCTGTAATATCATCTCTCTTCCTTTTTTCTCTTCGGTCTCCTGCTTCGAATAGTTGAGCTTCTATCTGAGGGAAAATTTTAAAATATTCATTCAAATTCAAATATTCTTAATTTTTATATTTCATAATGTAAAACACTTTTTATAATTAATTAAACAATGAAACTTCTCTAAAAAGGAACAATTCATAATATTGATTTCTTTAACTTTCAATTTTTTTCCCTTTATAATTTTTAAGACTGTTTATAGATCAAGAGGATTTAATGATTATTATTTTAAATTCTTAAAATCTTGTTGTTAATAATAGACATACTCTGTATATAATGTTCACAATAAAAGAATTGAAATAACTCTTTTGTATGAGAAATATTAATTTACATCTGTTATAATTAATTTATACCAGCGGTTCTCAGCCGGTGGTATGCAAAGAAAGAAACAAAGTATTTTTAACTACTATTAAATTCAAAAATCTCATAAAGAAAAGAATAGTTAATAGAAATTTCCTTTGATCGAAATTGACTTGAAGATTTGGAAAATGACACACACTTGTTAACTTTTGGCTGAACCGAAAAAAAGAATTTAAAGGCATTTCAAATAAAGCTATCAAATTTGTATTGTCTTTTCGCACAACCTGTTTGTGTGAAAAATGATTTTTTCCATGTTAAATTTGAAATATAAATACTCACCAAAATAAAAAGTGGATCCTAATTTACCATTAAATGAAATAAGAGCAGACATAAAGAAATTAAATATTAAAGTATTATAACTGAAATTTTGATAATCAAGTGAATAATTAATTTAATTTTGATAATTAAGTAATCATCAGTTTTTAATCTAATAGTTTTTATGTGTACATATTTAATACAAAGAGTGTGCAAATGGCAATATATATATATGTTTTTAATATTTCTATTGAGGAATTGAAAAATAATCATTGTAAAATTAGTGGTGGTATTAATGTTTTTCAGTTTTTGCTTAGATGGTAGTCAAAAGGTTGAAAACCGCTGATTTATACCATTAAAGTTTTTCTGTTGGGAGGAAAAAGAAAAGAAGAATCCAGAAAACATTAGATTTTATGTAATAGATACAAACTTGTCATTCCTAAATGCCATTGCAGATTTCCTCGTGATAAAGGTGTGGAATTTTCTAATGTAAAAAAGAAAAAAGCATAAAATAAGCACAATTTACTCAACAATCTTGACTGAAATATACATGCTTTCAGAGATAGCATAAAGAAAGTTTACTCAACAATCTTGATTGAAATATACATGCTTTCAGAGATAGCATAAAGCAAGAAAAGTTTACTCAACAATCTTGATTGAAATATGCATGCTTTCAGAGATAGCATAAAAGAAGCACAATTAACCTCAACAATCTTGATTGAAATATACATGCTTTCAGAAATAATATACAAAGCATACTGCATAATCAAAGTTATGAGTTTATATACTATGAGATACTATACATGTTTATAATATACCACGTTCCTGTACACCTAACACCTCGTCCACAATTTTCTATACAATTCATTAAAGATAGTTCCTGAAACATAACTGACTTAAGAGAAACATGCATACTTCTAATTTATGCACAATAATTTGACAAACATTGATTTCAGGTAAAGAGCTACATGTATTATATCAAAGAAAGAATGAATAAGTGTAATTTGCCTTTATCCTACAAATACTTAAAAACATTTACATTAAAAAAAAATGAATTATACATAATGGTAGCAAATTTTTAATGAAAAACAAAACAAGAGTTGAAAACTTAATGCAGTTTTTGTCAATATTTTACTCTCTCTTAAAATTTATATAAATGTATAGAAACTTGAAATGCATACCGCATTTGGCTGGAAAACTTGTGGTATTGTGCTGCACTCTAGGGAAAGGGAAAAAGTATACAATGAAGCAATCATAAGAATAAAAGATATTTGCATATTATTGAAACCACCTTAATAAAAGTTACCAAATTTTCAAAAATGTGCCAAACTCTGGCAACGATTATGTATCAAAATTTTTCAGGTAACATGCTCATGACAATTTTTCATTCAAGCAATGTCACCATTTTCATATGTGTTTCCTTATGTTGTATTTCAAGTTCCAATGGATTTTAGATACGAATAGTTGTTTTAGATTAATTTCAGATTTAAAATACTGCTTGTGGAGCTTACCATCAAAAGAAAGAAGAAGCTGTGTTAAAAGTTCTGCAGGAATAGAATAAATATTTTAGTACAAAAATTTCTAATGGAAACAACTATGAGATGAATTTGGTACATAGACAAGGCATGCAGTATCAAGTTTATGTAATTCTCTGATTTTTTTTTTTTTTTTTTAAGTGAAAACAGATCACTTGGCACAAGCAGTGAAGAACAGTGCTAAAAAATTAGACAAAAAATTTGTGGAAAATGTATTTTTTTTAAACTATCATATAATTTTTATTTAATAATTCAAATTAGTATTTTAAAATTTGTTAAATGTTTTTTCCTTTGATATGTTGATAACGTTTTGCCAACTTAGATAAATATTGATAGTTTGGTTATGCTAAAAGCAAGCTGCAAAAACAACGTACTTCTCCTGATAAGTATTTTTCTCTTTTCATTTATAAAGACCACCAAACTGATCCAGGTGTTTGTGTTAATACGTAAGTACCAAAAAATATTGAAGAATGCACAATGAAAGATGGCAACCAGTATGGTAAAAGATATAATTAATATATGCAATGAAAGAAATCTTATTAAAAGACGACTTTCATTATCAGCAGAGAAGCATGACACAGTTACAGTAAAGAAATTAAGCTTTTTCTGCACTTGTAGCTTTTAATAGCCAAAAAAATTTTTTTTGAAATTTTATGAAATAAATAAATCTGAACATAACTGATATCAAACGAGAATGGGTCCAAACTTTCACTTAAGAAGCAGAAAGTGTACTGTAAATGCACAATATAATGAGCAGAACACAAAGCATAATTTATAAATTAACCTTTACTCTGGATGTATATATTACATTAATATCACATTAGAATTAGCACTTACTACAATTCAGGGTTTCATATAATTTTTTATTTATTGTATTACATTGAAATACCTTTAATTTCATTTTTATATTTTCCCAACGATGTACAATATAAATCTAAAAATTGCTCTTAACTGTTTCATCACATAATGAATGTCTAAGGGAAGGAATGCCTGCATGGAAGACTAAGGAAAACTTAGTATTCATGTTATACATTGAAAAAATGAAGAAAACACTCATGCAGCCTAGCTTTTTCACCTGGATTTTAAAGAGAGACTGGGATAGCGGTGTTCAGCAGGCTTATCTGCTTGTAGATAGATGGGCTTATTAATTACTATATAATTCAAGAACTAGTTAATTTTCATATGGTAAACATGCCTACTGTCACTGAAGAATCATGCATCTGCATTGAACAATAAAAATATAACACAAATTTGAATTTTAAATTAAACTTACTATTAGAAGAATTAAAACCAAATGCTGTAATTTGTAATTTGAAAATGGGAAAAAAATGTGGTTTATATTTGAAAAAGCAAGGATTTTTGTCTGAAAAGTAAAATATATTTTACACACACCTGTTGCTCTAGATTACTTTGGAGGGAATTTTCTATAGGATAAAGTAAATAAAGTTGTACACATTAAACATTACATGTCTGTATATTTCCTTTCGTTTTCAGGACTGGAAACACTTCGTTACACCACACTACAACGCAGTAAACACTTGACCATAAGCTCAGAAGAATCATGGGAACTGATGTTTTTTGTTTACATCGACACGCAGTCTCATTGGATATTGATGTAGTTTATCGGA